ATGTTGTTGTGGTTTTTTCCTCCAAAGCAGTACCCCCAGCCACAAACATGGCTATGCAAGAATTTCCACACCTCTGCCCCTTTCATACCAGGGGTGACCAGACTGTGATGATTCTGGCTGGGTCCTGGTTTTAGCCTTCCTATCAGCTCCCAACTCCCAAATCCCAATTTTCCCTACTCTGCTGAAAGACTTCAGCTGATATTGAAGTAAATCTGTGGTCATCCTAGAAAGGAGCATAAAAAGAAGAAAACAAAAATGATCTTAATGAATGCAAGGACATGTGAGACATTACCAAGTTGCTTGTCTAGGAATGTGCTAACTTTTTATGTCAAATGAATTTCTTTTTACTGAACCCATCCTTTTCAAATTACTGTTCTCTGTATGGTGGTAAGAAATCTCCACTTTTCCAATTGATCCTAACTTTTCACAGCCACTCACTTATGGCTGCATCCTGGTTTTGCTGGGATAGAATCATAAAATCAGCGTTCTGTTCAGGAAAGCTGCGTTTCTGAGAAGACTGCTGTACCTGCTACTGTGAGAAAAAAGTTGATTAAGACACTTTGTTTTAGTTCATGGCCAGCCGTGGTGTGCGGGTGTCCGTAGTGATCAAGGCCTCTAGCAGTCTTGAGATAGCCAGGTGCTAAAGCTGGGAGGAACGGAGGCTAAGGCAGCTGACCCAGGCTGCCTGTGTACTGGAGGTATACTCTTGTGTTGCCAAAATGCTCAGTAACATAATACAGACTAGTAGTGGTGGATTCTTCTCACCTGCCCTCTGAATTTTGACAGCAGAAGTATTCTATACCATAAATGTTGCGCTCACTATAAACTGGGGAGTCTTCCGGGAGCGGCTCTCTGCCTGCATGGCTGCCATCCCTGGAGGGTCTCACCCATCACTCTGCTCCCAAGGCTATCCTTTTCAAATTACTGTTCTCTGTATGGTGGTAAGAAATCTCCACTTTTCCAATTGATCCTAACTTTTCACAGCCACTCACTTATGGCTGCATCCTGGTTTTGCTGGGATAGAATCATAAAATCAGCGTTCTGTTCAGGAAAGCTGCGTTTCTGAGAAGACTGCTGTACCTGCTACTGTGAGAAAAAAGTTGATTAAGACACTTTGTTTTAGTTCATGGCCAGCCGTGGTGTGCGGGTGTCCGTAGTGATCAAGGCCTCTAGCAGTCTTGAGATAGCCAGGTGCTAAAGCTGGGAGGAACGGAGGCTAAGGCAGCTGACCCAGGCTGCCTGTGTACTGGAGGTATACTCTTGTGTTGCCAAAATGCTCAGTAACATAATACAGACTAGTAGTGGTGGATTCTTCTCACCTGCCCTCTGAATTTTGACAGCAGAAGTATTCTATACCATAAATGTTGCGCTCACTATAAACTGGGGAGTCTTCCGGGAGCGGCTCTCTGCCTGCATGGCTGCCATCCCTTCTCCCTGCGCTGGAGCTGTGCCGCTCACAGTGTCTGCCAGCCAGCGTTCGCTGCTGGGAGTATGCAGCTTGTGACCACTGTCTGGGCTGAGTATAAGTCTGCGTACTTTATAGTGCTTTAGTATTAGTTTTATCGTTTTATTAAATCTGTTTCTATTTCAACCCATCTGAACCCTTTTTTCCCCCAATTTCCCTTTCTCGGCTGAGAGAGGGTTTTCGGGGGATAGAGCAATTGCTAGAGTTTGGCCCAGAGGTGGGCTAAACCAAGACAGGCTGAAACCTCAGTGTCTTTTTTTACAAGCCTGGTGCAGTATGATATAGCAGATTTAAGTGGTAAACACCACTATTAAGTAAACCACGTACTACTAGACTAGAGAAGGCTGAAATGCTGTTGACTTTACATAGTAATATCATTGTTCTGGTGTTTCTCTCATTCAGATGGACGAGATCAAGGCTAAAGACAGGATCATATTTTCCTTGGAGAAAGAACTGGAGACACAGACAGGCTATGTGCAGAAGCTGCAGCTGCAGAAGGAAGCTCTGGATGAACAACTGTTCTTGGTGAAGGAGGCAGAGTGTAACATGAGCAGTCCCAAGAGAGAAATCCCTGGAAGGGCCGGAGATGGTTCAGAGCACTGCAGCAGCCCTGTATGCAGGTTTTACTGGCCCCAGCAAAAGAGGAACATGGCCGTGTTTCTCTTGCTTAAATGTTTTTCTCAGGCCCTGGGAAAACATTCCCACTCTTACCACAGAGAAGTTATGTCCATAGATTCTTCAGAGAGAATGCTAGTGGGACAAAGTTTAGAAGTCTGTTTTCTCAGTCGCTCTATTTACAAATATAAAACAACTTAAATACTTAGTGCCCCTTTGAAAGAATCATTCCGTGAACATAACTACCTGGATAGCATGCATCCTCAAAAACAGATAGAATTGGGAGGATGTGCAGGGAGAAGTCTGGTGGGGGAATCCAGGAGACTCTTAGGAGATCCTCCTGTTTCTCTGTCTTATTCTTGACATATACAGCCCTTGCTTGCTATTATTTACAAAGCATGCAACTCACTGGTTGTGTGACAAAATATATGATGTTTACACAACAAATGTGTATATATACACATATTTACACATATACAAATGAGGAATAAGAAAGTAAATGCAATTGATACCAAAAAGGGCGTCTGTACTTTTTTGCCTGACATAGTGGCTCAGCAAATAGAAGCAGTGTATAGGAAAAGGCAATAAAAATTAGAATCTTCTAGCTTTTTGTCTCTTCTTCCCATTTGTAAATAGATGTCAACATCTGTTTGGTTGCTTTCTCTCTTTTTTTTTTTTTTTTTTTTAACAACTGGAAAATTTCAATCTTAAAGTATGCCCCAAACCAGATACTTTCTTCCAAAATATTTTTTTTTTTAGCAGCATGTTCAATATTGTAAAAATCCATAAATATAACTTGTTAATGACGACAGCTTAAGTTGACTGGTGTGTAGCTTTTGAGGATTCTTCTTTCAAGCATGTATTTTGAAAAGAATCACTAATTGTATTATGTTGTTGCCAATCAACAGGACTTGCGCAGAAACCAGAAGAGGATAGCAGAGTTGAATGCCACAATTCGGAAGCTGGAAGACAGGAACACCTTGCTCGTTGATGAACGAAATGAACTGGTGTGTGAACTTTGCGCTATCAGCCTGAGGAGGTCAGGAGCCATAGAGAAAGGCAAAGAGAGGAGGATCCAAGGATGACAGCCAGTGAGGAATATGCCTTTTCCATCCCTCAAACTAGTCACTCAGGAGGCTGAGGATGATTTTTTTTTTATCCTAGAATTAAACAGTAATTTCATTGAAGTTACAGGAGTACAAAATCACAACAGAAGTTGAAGCAGAGAGTCTTCTAGGTTTCTGTATGAATGCTTATGTTTCCTCCTTGACCTTTTCAGCATACAACAGTGTATGGTGAGACTTAACCTGTAAATGAAATAAAGTCTGTAGTCCAGTATTTGACCAGATTGAGAACAGTTAAGTATCAGATCTAGGAAAATGGACAACGGTGAATGGATCCCTTTATCTGATTTATTCCTAGATGGTGACACCCATGTGTTGAAGTCAGCACTCTGGCTTTTTAATCTCTCTGTATTTGTACTTCTGTGATTAAGGATGAGGGTGGTGAAATTCGACTCTTGATTTTTTTTTTTTTTTTTTTTATTCCTGAGATAGAAGTCCTAATGCACTCCTTTCATATAAATTTAACTGGCTTGGATCTCCTCAATGTTCTTAATGTAATATTTGCAAAATAATGTCTTATCAAGATTGCAAATTATAAATTTGTTCAGTTATTGAGAAGCTCTTAACCCCCAAATTTCTTTGATACTGAATAGCTTGGAGTCTGATGAGTCAGCTTGATTAGCTGTTGCATGTCATTAAATATTCAGGGTATTTTTTAACAAGGAAAAAAATAATTTTAAAAGGCTTCGAAGCTGTATCTTGCACAGTGTGACTACAATGAACACGTTTTGTTAAATGTGACCAGGAGTACTGCTGGAAATGCCATACACTTTAAGATACAGTTGGACCAGCAATAACTAACCTCATTCTTAGGGTAGGACCAATGGTTGTTTTGCCCACAACTGTGCTGATCAAAGATGTAACCACTTCCTAGTTGCTTCCCCCTTTCCTGTTAGCAGAAGAGATCTTCAGGTACTTGCTAACCTGATTCAGACAAAATCTCTGGGTTAGTTTAAATAGCTCGGTAAGATGATGTGATGATGTAAGTAAATGTGGTTAACTGTCCTTAATAGCCATTAGAAAACTCTCACAGTCCTTTCCTCAGCAGAACTGCAAGGGGCAGGAACCTCTCAGTGATGAACAGTAACACAGAACTGGGACAGTGCCTTTGTTAGGTAGATCATCTGGACACAAAGATGATGTCTTTCCACAGCCACATGCCATCTTCCTTGTTCTCCCTTAGAAAAAGAAATTATATCTATAAACCTCACAGTATTACTGGATGTATCTAATTTTTCAGAGGAAGAGATCTTGGTTAAAACTCTAGTTGTACCAGTACTGGAACTTCCAAGCATGCCCTAAGATACCTTGCTATCTTATGGGATTTGTTGTTTAAATGTTATGTGATTTCTTCATTAAAACAAAGTTCATTGTGCATGTGCACAAGTATTTCACTGTGTGGCATTAAAAACCAGACTTACAACTAGGTTGTTATTGCTGTGATCCAAACTGAGTTGGTACCTATGCAAATCTGTCTTTCAATGAGAAAATCAGTGGGTTTCTTGCAGATAAAGCACAGGTCATTTCAGACCTTTGTAGCAGCTTTGCAGTGCTTACACAGTGCTCAAACTATGTCTGAGTTTTCCCATAGCCATATTTTGGAAACAGGTATGCAGAATTATGGTTTCAGATTTATAGATAAAGTAAGTAATGGAAGCTGTAAGCATCATTTCCATTTTACTGGGACAGTAGTCCTACAGGGAGAACAAAGGAGGGAGAAAAAATATCTTTTATTTGGATTATTTACAATTATTAATTGTATTATCAATCCAGTTGAAGCGTGTCCGAGAAGCTGAGAAACAATGTAAACCTCTTCTGGAAAAGAACAAGTGCCTCACGAAGAGAAATGATGAACTTATGCAGTCTTTGCAGCGCATGGAAGACAAACTGAAAGCAGTCGCTAAAGAAAATATAGAAATGGTTGGTACTGAAGACCAAAATGAGGATTACTGTATCATCTATGTTATGGTGGCCACATCTGCATAGTGTATGCATGTATATACATAGAGAAAATGTGTTGTATATAGCGTGTAATACTATTGATGAGATATAGAGACCTAAGTATGGCTATATAATAGACTTACATACTATAACATTGTGTATTATGCATATATGTGCAATATATTTAAGTGAATGCATAATCATAGTCATTAATACTATCCCAGAATGTAGAATTTTGAGTTTCAATTGTTTTAAAGAAAAAGAAAAAAAATAGTTGTATCTTTGAGTTATATCCCCCTGGGCTATTTTGCATCTGGAACTCAAAAAACAAGCTGTTAAGAGCAATGATTACAGCCAGCATGATGTTCATCTTTCAATGTACATGTTCTTGTTAGAGCCTATGATGGCAAAGTATGGTTCTGGTCTGCCACTGAGCACATACAATCTCTCCATAAAACATATGCATGGCAGATGGATATGGGAATGGGAGAATGGTGATGTTACAAATTTGGCTAGGGTTATAAATTTCACATATCAGGGCTATACGAAGCAAGGTCAAACCAGTTATGTCTGTAGATCCTTCAGACAGAATTGCCCTGAGTATCAGTCAGAATCCAGTCCCTATGCATGCACCAATGTTGCTTTCACATTAATGAAAAAAAAAGGAGGTGCTAGTTCTGGTTTGCCAGATGTAAGCTGGCAGGCTGAGAAGACTTCCCCTGCTAAGTGTGTTTGTGTGTCTTGTCTCTCTGGCTTGCAATAGCTACTGCCCTCATCTTGAGCAGGCTGACTGTTCCGCAATGGATGCAGCTTTCCTGCTGATTAGGATGAGATGATCAGATTCACTTTCTTGTCTTACAGAAAAAAGGCTTTAGTGTTACGAGGTTAATCCACTTTAAGACTGCAATTTACCCATGTCCAGAAGACAGATAAACTTATTGCAGGTGTCACGGGTCAGAATTCTTCTTTCACAGCTGTGGTAGCACAGATAACAGCCCCTTGGGCTCTCCTACAGCAAAGAGAAGGGACTTGGGAATCTGCATGCATTAGACGTCAGTGGGCAGCACCACTGGGGCATGTATGTGCACACAGCACATATGTTCTAACTTAGCTCCCTGACATCTGCTCTTTACAGTATAGATGCCCAAATTATGGAAGTTAGCAAGCTGTAGGTGGCTAGAGTAATTGTCATGGGCTGTACCCATCTCTTCTCCCACATATGCTCAGGAGCAGTCAGGACGTGAACTTCTAGTTAAAATAGATGCGGTACCACGTTTCTTGCCTTTTTTTGATTCTGACTGGATGCATGTCTTTCACATGACTAAAGCATGTCTGTTTCCTCACTGTATATGGTCATATGATGGGTATCAGTAAGGGCATGGGGTTATAGGAGTAGATACTATTTGCATACCCTCTGGACAGGTAGGGGATTCAACTATATTTGCCACGTGTTAGGGCATCTTGGTGCATGGCAAAGGAAGAGCTATGGTATATGACCTTTAACGGCTGCTGTAGAGGCTATATTGCCACACAGTAAGTAAATAGATAAAGCTTTGTTGTTCTGGTTGAGGAACTCAGCCTTGCTGTGCTGCTTTATTGTTGAGAAGTGCTGACAGGTATTAGAAAAGTTATAAAAATGGTGTAGCTGGAGCTACTTAGGCTGTACAGTTTAAATGAAAGATGATGTCTAATTTTTAACTGAAAGGTGGTCTTTTTGTCTTTTAATTGGTGGATCTTATTTTATCTGTTGTTTCTTTTTACCACAGAGAGAAAAAATGACATCACATCCTCCTCTAAAGAAATTAAGATCTCTCAATGACCTGGATCAGGCTAACGAGGAACAAGAAACTGAATTCTTAAAGCTTCAGGTCATAGAACAACAGAACATAATTGATGAGTTAACAAGGGTATGTCTAGAGCACAAGGAAATTAGGAATGATTCCTGTGTACAGTTCACCACTGATAGTATTTCTTCTTATAACTGAGGTCTGAGGGTTAATATCTTATGTTACTTTTAACACCTGCAAATTTTTAGATGTAGGTGTGTGTGGATGAAGTTTAACTGAATTTCTAGTGGGGCATCAGACCTTACAACTCAAAAGTATAACTCTTGTGTGTGAATTGAGCTCTAGAAATGAACACAGACTAAGAACTGTGGAGCTTGGGAAGTTACCTACATATTCACAAGCCAAGCTGTGCCAAGCTGTTTTACCATTATAATTAAGCTACCATGAAAAAGTTTCCTTAAGAGGCAGGCACACAGTGCAATATCATGTGCTGGAAAAGTGTGTGCTGCTAGACAGTGGTTCACTAGTTCATTTAATAGTGACAACCCCTTTTTCATCTCACTTTGCATTATGATGTTGAGGGGAAGGAGAAAGAGACTCCAAAAGAGGCTGTTGCCTCTTCTAAGACATCATTGCTAGGAGTGGCAAGATCAACACTACTTATTGCAGCCTTCCAGGACTTAAACAGAGCCTATAAGAAAGATGGGGATAGACTTCTTAGCAGGGTCTGTTGCAACAGGACAAGGAGTAACGGTTTTAAACTAAAAGAGGGCAGATTTAGACTACATAGAAGGAAGAAATTTTTCACAATGAGGGTGGGGAAACACTGGCACAGGTTGCCCAGAGAGGTGGTAGATGCCCCATCCCTGGGAACATTCTAGGTCAGGTTGGATGAGGCTTTAAGCTACCTGATCTAGTTGAAGATGTCCCTGCTCATTGCAGGGGGTTTGAACTAGATGATCTTTAAAGGTTCGTTCCAACCCAAAGATTCTATGATCATTTAATGACTTTGAGACAGAGGCAGCATCTCCTCTGCAGGGAAGGCAGACAGCCTCTCATACAAAGCCCAAACCAGTCCCCTGCAACAGGCCTCCCAGTGATTTTAACAGGAAATCCATGAGCACCTGTCATTTGACAGCCTGTCAAGGCAACTGCACAAGGGTGGGTTTTTTTTTTCAGATATCCCATCTTCCCTTCTTTAAGTGGTTTTCAGCTGGCATACATACAGATTTGGATATGAATCCTCACTTCCACTTGGAATCAGATTCCTGTTTGAATGTATGAACAGAGACACGGTGGAAGCCCGATAATTTATTTCCTCTGTAGATTTGGCCTTCTACAGCTGCAAACAAGAGAAGAAAGAGTAAATTTCTAATCTTATTTTCTAGGACAGGGAGAAACTAATTCGTCGCAGAAAGCATAAAAGGAGCTCAAAGCCAATTAAGGTAAGAGGAAAAATTGCTTGTAGCTCATAAAAATACTAGTAGGCTCTATAGGAAAACACATTTTAACAATCTGATTAATGAGAGATTTGTGGATTATAACAATCTGCTTTAGTGATTGGGTTTATAAACACCTTAGTTACTTTGGGAGAGCTTTTTAAGTCCACTTTGAAATTCAGTTAAGGGTGTGTAGCTATTTTCAGTTTTACTTTCAGCAAAATGGGGCCTAGATGTGTCATCACATTGTTTCTATATGGGTTTTGAAGCAGTACACAGCAGACATAACTGGGAGACAAGGACTAAAAAGCATTTTCATCAGTCAACTTTGTTTCTAATCCAGAGATTATAACATGGGAGAATATGGCTATTATCTTCACTTGGAAAAGTATGAACAAAAAAAAAGATAGCACATGCAGAAGGTTATTAGTATCTTTGGTACATGTTTTTTGTGTGATTCAAGATTTAGAAGGTTCCCTGTTCTGCACACATTTCCAGCTCTTTATGGTGTTATCTTTGCACACCAGTCTGCATATTGATAAATGTCTTCTGAACAGTTTTGGGGTTAACAAACAATTCTCTTGCCTTCCTGCAAGGGCAGAGACTTTTCCTTTAGGCTGTTGCTGCTCCCATTATGTTTTCCAAGTCTTAGATTGAGACAGATCCTCAGCTCAGAAAAATTAATCAGCAAACTCATTCTCCACCAGCACAAGACCTAATCTTCAATATGGCTCCTTTTGGGTTTTGTTTGGAGATGGTAGTTGCAGGGGTAGCCCACTGCTCTTTTTTCATGTCTTTCCTGTTTTAAGTAATCAGCAATGTGATTTTGAACTAACCTTCCCTGCTCCCCACCCCTCAGAGACTCATGCTACCTGTTTCTAAGGAGATTCAGAAATCATGTTTTTCCCTTCTTTAGAGACATGTGGTGGATACAGTTTTTGGGTACGATGATGATTCCATGGACTCTGAATCATCCTCTGTGGCATCGTATAGAACAGACAGAACACCAGCAACCCCCGATGATGATCTGGATGAGGTAAGATCTGACTCTTTCCATAATCAAGGACAGGTTTTCCAGAGACTTTGCTTCCAAAACAAGTGGCCAGGCTCTCAAAAACACTTAGGTTTTTATAGCGCATATTGAGTGATAACTTCTTCATTAAGTTTGGCCTCAATTTTGGTTAGTGATATACTGAAATGCTGAGAGGTTCTTTCAAAATCTAGTTGATAGAGTCTACAGCTATGACTTCATTGCAATCAGGTATTTTTTTCCTCTCTCTCTTCAAGAAAATAAACCTATTACATTTCTTTTAGCTTAAAGACCTATAAATGCTGTATAAATTCCACATTCTTATTAACTCATATCACAGCAAGCTCACTAAAAAAGCTATTTGAATCAAGACCTGTAAACCAACTATTGTGCTTAACAAATCACGCTTAGGTTCTTTGCTTTGGCAATGCTCTACTGTCTGGTTCTTAGACATGTCCTTTCTCATCCTTCAGAGTTTAGCAGCAGAAGAATCAGAGCTGCGGTTTCGACAGCTGACAAAGGAGTATCAGGCCCTGCAGAGAGCATATGCACTACTGCAGGAGCAGACAGGAGGTATCATAGATGCTGAAAGAGAAGCCAAGGTCAGTATTTGATTGAGGGTAAAAGCATTTCATTGCTATCAGGACATACAAACCCCTCAAAGTGACATACAAGGGAATGGAGTTGCACACAACATCCATACAACTGAGAGATGTCCATTTCACTCATTTGCTGAATACGTTCAAAGACAGCAACAATTAAGAATGGACACAATCACGCAGTTTGCAAGGGGCTGTCCTCCACCTGAACTTGAAAACCCTGCAGTTAGGCAGCCATGCCAAAGCAGGCAATTCTGCAGTTTGGCACAGAATCACAAGGATTTTCTCATCTTTTGCTAAGATGTGAAAGGACTGGTTTTAAAGGTAAATGGAAGCCTGTGGGTTTTCACAAAGGCATGTATTGCAACAACTTTAGGAATATTCACCTGAATGTTTCTAACAGAGACATGCAAATTACATTCAAATTTGAATCTGATGCAGACTACAGTAAACCTTCCAAGGCTAAAACTGTTGCCCTCCTAATAAAATCGTAGAATCATTCAGGCTGGAAGGGACCTCAGGCAGTCTCCAGTCCAAACTCCTGCTCAAAGCAGTGTCAGTTGTGAGATCGCACCAGTCTGTTTAGCACTTAGTTGAGTCAGCTTTTGAAGACCCCCCCAGGGCATCTATAATTGCGTCTTTCCACTACCTTTTGCCACACTCCTCTACTAAGCACTTTTCTTCAATTCAGTGACTGCCCCTTACAGGGGTCTTTGAGCAAAGCCCATCACCCGAATACCTGAGCCTGGGTTTCACTACTGTAATGCAACACATGGTAATAATAGGCTTGGGTGGGGAGAGGGGCCTGATCTACCCCTCTGTTCCCTTGTATCATCTGTATGCCAATCTGAGGGATGGCACAAAACATTGCTAAGCCAGAATTTTTCTAACAGTTACTCACTTGGTGGAAGCAACAGCATAAATCCAGACTCTGCTGTGTTTGGTTTCCTTTTAATACCAGTCACATTGCTGGTTTTGTTGCTGTTTAATGCTGTGCCTGACTTCAACAGGCTCAGGAGCAGCTCCAAGCTGAAGTCCAGAGATATAAAGCCAAAATAGAAGATCTGGAGAAAACTTTGGCACAGAAAGGGCAGGTAAGCACTTCTAGTGTATTTTCTTTTCCTATTTTGAATCTTACCTGCTCTGCTTACAAAATACCTAGCACAATTTCAGTATAGACTTCCATGAGATGTAGTGTCGCTGTTTAGTAAACAGGCAGTTCTAGGGAGTTCAGAAGCCTTGCTACAGCTTGGTAGACTAATATGTTCTTATGCTGTAAACGACAGTCCATTCCTGTAGGATTTTAAAGCTTGAATATTGTGGCTCAAGTTTTCAATAAACATGCCCATTCTCATGGAGTTTGATTATTCTGTAATAGTACTGCTTCATCCAACAGGACTCGCACTGGGTGGAAGACAAACAGCTATTCATTAAGAGGAACCAAGAGCTTTTAGACAAGGTATGTTCCCAAGTTTTGCGTGTTCACTCTGAAGGATCCTGTAATATGCTTTTTGGACATGCAGTCTGGTACTTACAGGTGTAGTATAAGGATATAACAGCAAAGATTAATATGGACAGGGTAACATATGGAAAGACAAGCCCTCTCCAGCTCTGCTTAGGCACTGTTGTTGCTGGCAGTTGCTGATGCACCAGCTCTGCTGGTAAGCTCCAGCCTGAGAGCTGGAAGCTCCCTTCATTGGTCTGGCTCTGAGGTACAAAACTTTATTCCAGTAGCATTTCACTGAAGAGTCTGCTGCTGCATTGGCAGGATATTTTGAGTTTAGCTTCTGGGTGTGAAACAGCAGTAGACATACAGACACTTTCTAGCACCAGGACCCTTTCATACTCCTAGTCCCTGTGTATTCTGTATATTTTTAAGGCCTTAAAGTCATCTCTAGGTCCAGTGAAACTTGTACTGGTCAGTCCCTTGGTACATTTAGGAATAGCACCTGTTTGTGTGTGTATCTATATTTGTATGTATGTATATATTTTTAATCATGGAACATAAGGATACAAAAGACCTCAACATTGCTTCTATGTCACCAACAGTAACAGCAGTGGCCATATGTATGACTGCCATCAGCAAGAGGCCATAACTCCCAGCACCAGGTCTCCTGCCTTCTTTCACCTCTTCAGATGAGATTTTATATAATCATAGAATAGTTTGGGTTGGAAGGGACCTTTAAAGGTCATCTAGTCCAACCCCCTGCAATGAGCATGGGCATCTTCAACTAGATCAGGTTGCTCAGAGCCCCGTCCAACCTGACCTGGAATGTTCCCAGGGATGGGGCATCTACTACCTACCTGGGCAACCTGTGCCAGTGTTTCCCCACCCTCATTGTGAAAAATTTCTTCCTTCTATGTAGTCTAAATCTGCCCTCTTTTAGTTTAAAACCATTACTCCTTGTCCTGTTGCAACAGGCTCCACTAAAAAGTCTGTCCCCTTATTTCTTATAGGCCCCCTTTAAGTCGTGGAAGGCTGCAATAAGGTCTCCCCAGAGCCTTCTCTTCTTGAGGCTGGACAACCCAAACTCTCTCAGCCTGACCTCATAGGAGAGGTGTTCCATCCCTCTCACCATTTTTGTGGCCCTCCTCTGGACCCTCTCCAACAGGTCCATGTCTTTCCTGTGCTGCGGGCTCCAGAGCTGGACACAGTACTCCAGGTGGGGTCTCACCAGAGTGGAGTAGAGGAGCAGAATCCCCTCTCTCACCCTGCTGGCCACGCTGCTTTGGGTGCAGCCCAGGATATAGCCCCCACCTCTGGGCTGCGAGTGCACATTGCCAGCTCATGTCCAGCTTTTCATCCACCAGTACCCTCAAGTCCTTCTTGGCAGGGCTGCTCTCAATCCCTTCATCCTCCAGCCTGTATTGATACTGGGGCTTGCCCCGACCCAGGTGCAGGACCCTGCACTTGGCCTTGTTAAACCTCATGAGGTGCACACAGGCCCATGCCTCAAGCTTGTCCAGGTCCTTCTGGATGGCATCCTGTTCCTCAGGCATGTCAACCACACCAGTCAGCTTGGTGTTGCCTGCAAACTTGCTGAGAGTTCACTTGATCCCGCTGTGTCATTGATGAAGATATGAAACAGTACTGGTCCCAATACTGGTCCCCTGAAGGACACCACTTGTCACTGATCTCCATCTGGACATTGAGCTGTTTATTAGCCTGTGTTTCTGCCCTTCCATAAACACACCTAATAAGTCTCCAGCCCTGTGCCGTCCTTCCCCATCCAGACAAACTGACCTAGGGGGGCTCATTTGACCTCAATCTTACCATGGTCCCTAGCTGTCCTTGTTTCAGCCCTACTCAGAAAATCTGACTGCAAATTATACATCCTGGCACTGGCTGGAGACTTGCAGAAGAGAGCAGGCTGAGGAGGTAGTGGTAGAGTTGTCCACAACAAGTAAGCTATAGACAGTTGGCCAATGGGTGGTATTTAAGTCTATCTGCTAATTGACAGAACTACTCTTGTGGGGTTGCTTGCTGTGCTGTTCACCCAAGCACTTGCATGGGGTGGGATAGCTGCTCAGTAACTGCTTCCACAAAGAGAGCTCTTCCTGCATGCCATCTGTACTTCATGTACTATACACTGGGAATCTCTAATCTAGCCCAAGCTCTTCTCCAGGGCAGCTGCAGCTGTTTCTGTGTCATCCCTGGACATTTATCCACCCTGCTCAGAGTCCTCCAACAATGGTATCTCCACATCCCTCCCTAATCTATTCCAGTGCTTTACCATGAGAGCAGTGTCTTTTATAGCTAACGTAGACTAATTAATAGCTAACCTGATATCTCTGTAGAGTTAACTTCCCTGCTGATCTTCACTAGGATTGGATTGTTTTAGGAAAACCTCCAGCCTAAGCATTTTATTATGTTTATGAGGTTGATGAGCAGAAGTTCACCTGTAAACTAAAGACTCACTGAGATAAAACAGCAAGTAGTGAATCATCTCTAGAGTTTGGATTTTGCACTGCCTATGCTACCTGAACTACTACTCACCAAATATTCCATGTTTCTTGTAACAGTCACACAGATCCTGAATTTACATATTTCTATTAGATAGAGAAACTGGAAGCAGAAAACAACCGTCTGCAACAGGAGCTGCAGGATGCCCGAGACCAGAATGAGCTGCTGGAGTTCCGCAACCTTGAGCTGGAGGTGATGGATGAGCTCGTTACAGTAGAGCTGGTAGCAAATTAAACTAGTGCACTTGCATTGGACACGCAACTTTAATCAAGTGTTTACACCAGCATTGTAAATGTTGTACATTTGTTACCTTGTTACATCAGAGTAACAAATCAGGGCCAGCATTTTTAATTGTAAGCTGTAGAAATGTGTCAGTGCTCATATCCCGGAAACAGTAAGCTCCATACTTGACTGGTTCACCAGTCTGAGGTGAGTGCCTAGTGTGCATAGATAAGTTTAGCTGATTAATGTCAGTGTGGCTCTTAGTTACCACACCTGTGGGTATATTTTTTCTAGTACTTTGGAGCAGTCTGTTGTCAGCATGCTTTGTTCTTACTGCTGGTGTGGAGTACAGATGTCCAGTGCTGGCCAGAATCTAATAAAATTAACAGAAATTAATTACATTTAAATTAACCAAATAAGCAAGGCTTAAACCCCATCCTTGTGTACTTTGCTCAGGGCTGCATCCTGGTTCACAGCTAAGATTTCTCCTGAGAATAGGCATCCAAGGTTTGTTGGTTTGTTGGTTTGTTTTTATGAACCTGAGCAGATCTTGGAGAAGAAAGAAATGTTGAGCATACTTTTATCTCTAATAGCTGAAGAGTAGAGTGTTCCTCTAAGAAGTCAGAGATGCAGGTACAGTTCCCTCTTCATGGTCTTCAAAGACCTACTTTTCCCCTATGAAAATCTTACTGCTGATCTATAAACTATACTGGCTTTGTTCTTTTCCCCTCTTTCAGCAAGGGTGATGAGACAGGAGTTCAAGTTTCATTGAGAGTGCTGCTATGAGAAGTGCACCTCTCTAGCCCTGTGCTTGAAGGACTGGAACTGTTTGAAGTTTAATTCAGCAATGATCAATGAAATTGCATAAGCAGTTGTAAGAGAAAGTATCAGAAAGCTGTTGTCTTCCAGTACCACACCTGTGGGATAAAAGGGTTGTACCTTGTCCCCTCTGCCCCAGCGAATTTTTACTTCTTTTCTCTGTGAGGACTTGGCTGTGAGGGGAAGGGGGGCTGTCCTACCCAAACCAATCTGTACTGGGCAAATAGAGCACTCTTCGTTGCAGAGGAGAAACGTCGTGTCAGCTCCTGCAGCAGAGGGAGCTGAAGCCAGGCCTGTGACAGCCTGCAGGGCACTCCGGCGCTGCTGGGATGTCTGCAGATCCCCAGTGCTGCTGATGTGGACTGGCTTGTGCTTGCGGCTAGCAGTGCCAGTTCAGCCGCCCTGCTGTGAGCACCTGAGGATGTCTAGGGTACAGAGCCACGGTGCTCAAGAAATGCAGGCTCCCTGGACAAGGGTTTGCAACAGCTGAGGCATGTTTAGATTTAATCTCTCTGTGCCTCAGCTTCCTGCCACTGTTGTGGAGATAAGACACATTTTATACAGGGTGAACGTGGTCTTGCTCCTACAGCCTTTATCATCGTTCGTGCCAATGCCGGCATGTGTGAAAAGCCAACAGTGCCTGCCTCTGTGCATACAGTGCTTGGCCTGGAGTTGTCCTAATTTATGTCTGGAGGCTGTAGGCCCTGGCACAATGAATAGCGACAGCCTATCTGCCCACTTGCAAGCACTGTCACTTTTGCAGGCACAGGACACATTCCCTGTTGAGCAGCTCTCCTCATGACCTGTGTTAGGTAAGAAAGGTCCCTCAGGTGACATTGCAGATCGATGGAGGAGCTCCAGGAGCCTCTGCAGGTGGCCAGAGGGCTGGGTCAGGCCTTGATCTCCCTCTTCGCAGGCTGCCCCTCATTACAGATTCTTGTTACGAGCATGAGCCGACAAAAACTTCCAGCTGGTCTTTTTCTCCAGGATAAGCTGGTTTATTTCTCAGATGTTCTTTCCAGTTGCTGTCTGAGGCCTTATATACTTGCCATTCAGAGCTTGTAGGTAACACAGAACCTTTCCTGCCTCTCATGATCAGGGCTGTGACAGATTTGTCCCTTATTTATAGATCTTCCCACAGTTTTACCTGACAGCTGTGTTTACATATGACATGGAACTGGACTGATAAGTGAATTGCTGTTAATGAAATGTTCATAAACCAAAAATGTATTTGAAAGTGAAATTTGATCTTCACTTCTGTGCTTGCCTGAATACCTGAAAGGGATGAGAAATAACATCTTCAAATTTTTATTTTTGTCTTTGGTCTTTTAAAACTTTTAAAAATA